TCCCGCTGTGTCTTGCTTTCTGTGTCATACTTATCTGTTAATCTCAAAGCTCATAAACCACCAGCTGTAGCAGATGCACCTCGACAGCTGGACCCTCAGTTGTGCGTCACACAATCAGCTGTGTTGTGTTTTTTTCGCTATCTGTCTCTGCTGTTTCTATAAATCTGTTGCCTCTGAATTACATCAAAAGAAACACCATGAATGTGAATAAATGGTCTCCAAGCTAAATAACTTGGTTACCTCACAAGTGAATTAAAAATTGAATTTGACGAATCACCCAGCCCAGGATAGTTGTAAAACAAAGCTTTTCCAGCGCTTACAGGAGCGGTCACAGTGTCCTTCCTGTTGTGAACACATTATGACAGCGCTGTGGCCCCAGGTCTCTGCTGGTCAGGCAGCCTTAGACAGATCACACCCTCACACTGCAGCTCTCTGGATCTGCGCCCAAACTCTAAACTCTTTTGGCAACTTTCTGTTATTGAATCATATTTTGTCTTGTCCGTCGTGATTCTGCCTTTTTATTTTTAGCGCTAAAAGCTTTGGTTGCTAGGAGACAGTATGTCTTAGGAGAGGCTGACCGAAGGAGGGACAGAATGAAAGAGAAAGGAAAGAAAGAGATGGCAGTGTTATTGAGGGGGAGAAAAGCGGAATCTGTGAAAGCCGAGCGACGAACGAGCGAGCTATGAGTCAGCAGGGACATCTGCAACACACACATGCAGTGGGCACGGTTGCTATTCCTGTGTTCTTTGTCTGTTTGCTCTGTGCACCCACGCATGAACCCACTTACCTCTCCCCACTAACCTGTGTGTGTTCGTGTACTGCGTGTGTGTGTGAGGGCGATATTAACCCGCCCACTTAGATCTAATCCACTCCTGTCGTGCGTTGTATGCGTCAGTCTGTGCGTGTGCCTACAACGTACTGTGCACATTTCCCCAGCATTCACCAGTGTGTACCCCATTATACAGCAGTGTGTTGTGTCTGTGTCACAACGCCTAACCTGTCCCCACTGACAAGAGCCTTATTGTCTGCTGCATGAATCATATGCTCGTATCCCATTAGTAGTCGGCCTTCAAATGGCTATCATCAACTATCACTGCCCAGCTTGGATGTCTTTTGGCTCACTCTCTGAGATCAGATAGCAGCATGTGATTTATTAGTCACCGGGACTCTGTTTTGTTCTCCTCCTTAATGCTTTTTGTAAGATTTCTTTGAGTGTGGCATTCAGAAAAAAACAGGCCCTAGATGTGATACTAAAAGCCACCTTATTTGCCAATTGGCAGTCGCGCATCACTTTCTTTTATATTCTGGTATCACCAATATCCTGCTCAAAGAATAGAAAAGTGACAAGTCACATCCCTCACTGGTCAGCAGGGTTGGAATATGTTTAGAAAATCGTTTAACTGGCCACCATCAGCACAAAAAAAGGGTTATTCTTTTTCCATCGGGGTCTTAAGAAAGTTGAAAATATAACTTATTCAACTCTGACTCACTGTGAATCTTACAAAACTGGCTGTCTGTTGAAAAGAAAAAGGTCACAGCTTGAATCTCGAAAATCTCTCCTCACAGAGGAAGCAGATTTCAGTTACTCAACTTCAGCAAGACGTTAATCACAATGGAGCAACAAGAGTTAAGTTGACCTTTGTGCCAATACGCAGACTGCTTTATGCACTGATAAATAATAATATGCCTCCATCACTCGAGTTGTACTACACATTTGGTTGTAATATGGCAACACTGCATTGTTAATACAAGGTATTACATTTGCAAGTGCATTTATGTTGCTTGCTCTCTAGGAGCAGTGTTCTTGGTGTACAACATTTCATTTGATGAGGTACCATTTCCAACTTGAAGTGCATTTCTACTACACCAACTACTATTACTGCTACTTCAAACACTACTTTGTATAGCCTACTACTATTACTACGGCTACTATTAGTATTGATTGACGTAACAGACACATTACTGCACTTTGTACACCTGATAATGTACTTTTGTTACTCCGTGTCCGACTTGGTTAGTTTTTCCATGACTCACTTCACTTGACTCCATTTACACCTGCTATTAAAATCTCATCTGTATCTGATTAAGGGTAAACACGTGTTCAGGACGGCTGTAAAGGCACGTTATTGGTCCAAACCTGATCGAACATATCAGTGCATTACAATCCAGATAAGCAGTGTCCGTACGCTTTAGTAACTCACGAGTTACTAAAGCGTACGGACACGTTTTATTTATTTGTCTCTCTATGAACCCTCCAGGGCTCCGTACATCCATGCAAAATTATACAATAAAAAAAAACATGACATTTCAACAGATTGTATGTAGAACAGAACACGTTTTAATTATTTTATTTAACAATCATTTGTTTCATTGAAGAACAAAAACATGAATGTTGAGTTAAATTGCTTCTAGGAATCCTCTGTGCACAGTGCCTTCAGGGGGTGTGGTCTCAATAGCCATGCAGTAAGCAGTGTGCTATGTGCATGTGATTGAGGAATGGCATGGATATTCAAGTGTACTTGAATGGCATGGTTTGTTTTAGTCAAGATTATGCTAAAATATACTTTCCCCACTATATTTAAGTTCCCTATGAAGAGCCAACCTTCCATTTAGAACATTCCCATAAATTCCCGTTAATTCCCGTGGAAAGTTTCCATCTTTGAAAATTCCCGGAACTTTGCAACCCTAGGTAGGAATGTCATGAGTCATTTTGTAGTTTGTAGTCTCTTCACAAAAAGACTGGTTGCTGCCACCAGTTGTTGCTGCTTTAACTGATCCACTGTGAAGAAGTAACTGCGCTCCAGCAGCTACAAACTAAAGAATCATTCAAACATCCTCTGGTGGCAGTTGTGAGCTTTTGACGTTTTTAAAAAGCTCTAAAATGACTCTTCACCCATTTTGAAAAGTAAATATCAGCCACGCTTTACATTTGTAATGATCCGACACCTGCCTTTTTTGGTCTACTCTTTTCCCCGACCGATCTTTAAAAGAACACGCAGTGCAGAAAACGAAGGCACACATTGAGTAAATGGAAAAGTGCTAATTGATTTAATTACCATCTGCGCTCCATATCCAGATGCCGTTCACTTTACTCTGGGATTTAGTTGCCAGGTGTGTCTTCTTTGTTTGTAATTCTTTTACAACCTATTTTTTCCCCTCTGTTTTTTTATGTCCAGTCATCTGCTTTTCTTTTGTTCTTTAGTGAAGTTGTGTTAGGGTGTTATTTTCTGCTTTTATAGACCTGCCGTTTTACAGCAGTTTCCTATCAATATGTTGACGAGGCAATAAAAGTACTGAAGAAATGTAAAAGAAATCCCTGTTTAATATGTCAGACTAGTGGGCCTGTATAGAGCCTGATTACATCAGGGTGATGCAACGACTTTCCTTTTTATATCAGCAAAGCTGTGTCATGATACTCGGGTTAATAGGCCACATCAAACCGGTGTCAGTCTGTCAGCCTTGAGCGTATCATCGTTAAAAGTTCACTGTCACTGCTATATAGATATGATAGACTTTGTAGAGTGTGGGAAACTGATTGTAACCTCGGTATTTAGGATAGTGTGTTACTTTACACTTACATAGACACACACATGCACTCACCAAATTCAGCATTGTTATATTGTGCCCACATGTTTCCCACCCTCTGCTTTCTCAGCCTGATTGCCAACACACATCTGGTCCTAATGAGGTGTGTGTGTGTGTCTCTCCCTTTGCTATGCAGCCCCTCAGCCTGGCCTTGTGTTGTAGTTGTGTTGAGTCTTTTACTGCCACCCACTGCTTTACAACTCAAAGCCTATACTTTTAACTCTTGGATAATAGTGTGTGTGTGTGCGCGTGTAAGCGTGTATTCTGAGGGTAGTTATAAAACCAAAGCTTATATTTTGTCTGCACATATCTCAAGGCCTGGTTATCTGTTAAAACAGTGCTGATTTTCTAACGTTGATGGCAATAGCAGTGACGTTTGATATGACTGCGGTCTCTGGGAACTGATTTATTCCCAATGCTTATAACGAGCACAAAAGCCATAGAGTGAAGCTAGTATTTCTACTTAGACGTTTGATTGTAACTGTGATTCCCAAAAGTCTCATATATTATAACCTTTAATATTCTTCTTTACCAAGTCATTGCTGTATTATATATTCTTCTTTACCAAGTCATTGCTGTATTATATATTCTTCTTTACCAAGTCATTGCTGTATTATATATTCTTCTTTACCAAGTCATTGCTGTATTATATATTCTTCTTTACCAAGTCATTGCTGTATTATATATTCTTCTTTACCAAGTCATTGCTGTATTATATATTCTTCTTTACAAAGTCATTGCTGTATTATATATTCTTCTTTACCAAGTCATTGCTGTATTATGTATTCTTCTTTACCAAGTCATTGCTGTATTATATATTCTTCTTTACCAAGTCATTGCTGTATTATATATTCTTCTTTACCAAGTCATTGCTGTATTATATATTCTTCTTTACCAAGTCATTGCTGTATTATATATTCTTCTTTACCAAGTCATTGCTGTATTATATATTCTTCTTTACCAAGTCATTGCTGTATTATATATTCTTCTTTACCAAGTCATTGCTGCATTATATACTCTTCTTTACTGAAATCGGAACCTGTTTACAATCTTTTGCTTCACTTTTATCAACTGACACAAAGAACAGCCTTCAAGCTCAAAGAATGATGCGAGTCGACTGGTTTCTTGCAAAAATGTAACATGCCTTTTAGAGCCAAACAGATTGTATGAATTCCTGACTATTATAACCTGTAAACACAAGCAGTTATTTCCCCATGGTGTTGACCCTGGAACCAGAAGAAGAGCCGTAAAGGAGATGATTAATAACTTAAGAAGGATAATGGATTATATGCAGAGTGCACTAATAACTATTAACTAAGTTAAAGGAATTAGGAAAACCAAGTTTTACTTTAAATGTGCTCCTGTTTATGATCATCCAGGTTTAACACCCCTCTCCTCTCTCCTCTGTCCCCCAGGGTTTGCCTTTCCGGATTGGGCCTACAAGCCCGAGTCGAGCCCGGGCTCCAGACAGATCCAGCTCTGGCACTTCATCCTGGAGCTGCTGAGGAAGGAGGAGTACCACGATGTCATCGCCTGGCAGGGAGACTACGGAGAGTTCGTCATCAAGGACCCGGACGAGGTGGCCCGCTTGTGGGGGGCCAGGAAGGCTAAACCGCAGATGAACTACGACAAGCTCAGCCGAGCTCTGAGGTGAGACTAAAGCATTTAGTTTTTTCAAATGTGCAGGCCGGGATATCTCTGCAGCTCCACAATACTTCATAAAAATGTTATTAAAACACATTTTACTTGCAAATATGTGCTTCCCGAAATTGTCGTCCATATTGTGATTTCGAGAATTGTTTGTATTTATTCTGCAGTCCTACAGGTGTCAATATTCAAAGACAAACACACCGGGATTCAGGGAATACCACAGAATGTTAAAAGATAATTGGGGCCCCTTTACCTCTAGCTTGGTCTGATGATACTTGTTAGTATATTAACAGCTAAAACAAACATTGGGCTTCCTTTGGTTCTGGCTTCAGTTTGAAAGGTAATACCCATCCTAAGTGAGACGGGTCTGGACTGTTTCATCTTTATGTTTAGGTCATATTTTCTGCGTAGGTATCCACACCACAGGAGTCAGATAATGGCAAAGAGCCCGGACGGGTCAATTTCAAGTTACACGAACTGGAGTCATGTTGTTTTGAACTCCAGATGAACTGAGATAAACTCAGCGAAGCATACAAGACTGATTACAAAAAAACACATCCAATTTGTAAGGGCTACTCTGTACAGTAGGGTTAAGTATAACAGTGTCCTTTCACAACCATCACAACGCGAACAAGACTTGCTTTCAAAAATGTGTCTCAGTTTTGAATCTTCACACTAAATAGTATTTCAAATAGTGCACGCTAAATAATAGCAAGAGAGGTAATGTGGCGATATAAGCTGACATCTATTTATTTATAAAGATTCTGTTGATTTAGTCTTAGGAAAAGGTTTGGGTGTAATTGTCGCAGAATGATAATGAAGATTTGAAGACAATTGATTTGTACCATGTAGTATTGGGTGTATGTTAATGATCTCGAAGTAGAAGGCAGTTTCTTTCCCCGCTTATTTCTCAATTACATCGGCGTCAAATTTACGTGAAAAAAAGAATGGTGTTTTGTCGTGATCCTCGCTTCGTGCTGGAACTCCAAGGTGACGGCAGATTTAGAAACACACACCTTCACCCTCCATGGAGCACATGTGGGATGCTGCCGAGTTTTATTTAGCCGCCAGTCTGTTCCTGTACATACACACACACACACACACACACGCTGGCACATACACATGCTGCTAGTCATCGATGTCGCCTCCTGTTTTGTAGGTTGGTGTGGGTTATAGTTTGCCATGGTGATGACAAGTTACACTGCCTCATCGGCACACACCCACGTGCACACACATACACGTATCACTTTGTTATATGTCAGCCCTCCTCCAGCCCATCTGCGTCTTGTTTGTTGCTTGAACCTTTTTTTGTCTGACTGAGCCTCATATGTAACCGTATTTAAAGACACACACCGTGTATTGAAATATTTGTAATCAAATGTTTTTATGTATATGGTGCTGACATTGCTTATCAATCAGTTAGTTCATTTAACATTGACAATACGGATAGCAAAACATTGTGATAGGCACAAAGAGATGTAATATGTATAGGTTGTTTTGCTGTGTGCTTTATATAGTGATTCAGCACCATCAGTTAAGTCACCGTATAGTTTGCCGTTTTCATAATAAACCAATTCTCATGTATAATAAATATATCATTTATTTATATGTATATCTTCATTCAGAATTTGCATTGTATTACAAGCTGTACAAACAACAAACACTCACTCGATCCCCCCCACATCTACAACAGAGAGGGTGATGTTACAGTAGTAACAAAACGGGATACATTTGTTTTACATTTAAATTAATGGTAATCATTGGTTACACAGAAATGGCCCAAATGGCTTGTATGCTTGATCAAGAGTTAAGCCCACAAAGATCTAACAGTTCATTTGACACAGGAGCAGTAACTTTGTGTCTCATCTCAGTGACACAATGACAGCTGGAGAACAAACTTTCTGTGCTGTTGTGTGTGCTGTGTGTGTGTGTGTGTGTGTGTGTGTGTGTGTGGTGTGTCGTGTGTGTGTGTGTGTGTGTGTGTGTGTGTGTGTGTGTGTGTGTGTGTGTGTGTGTGTGTGTGTGCTGTGTGTGTGTGTGTGTGTGTGTGTGTGTGGTGTGTGTGTGTGTGTGTGTGTGTGTGTGTGTTGTGTGTGTGTGTGTGTGTGTGTGTGTGTGTGTGTGTGTGTGGTGTGTGTGTGTGTGTGTGTGTGTGTGTGGGTATAGAGGCTGAGTCTATACAGTCAAAGTCCTTTCTAGTTCATTTGAAGGAAGTTCAAATGGTCTTCAAAGAGCTGGAGGCCAGCAGCGAGCCTGGGTGTGTGAGACAGGCTGTCCCATATTGACTCAGTACTGTGTGTGTACGTTTCATTCACATGTATGTGCGTGGCCTTTTCCTCCCGACTAATACAAAGTGCCATCCATCTATCCACACGTCTGCGAATATTATGTCCTTCCAGCTTTTACTGCACATAAAGACCTGATTTTGTGAACACCCACTCACTAATACTGCCGGTTTCCTCCAAGTGTGTGTAGCAGCGTTACGGTCAGAAAAACTGGTTAAAGGTCAACACGTCCGGGAACACTTCAATGGTCTGGACAAATGGGAGAAATTCTTGGCAATATAATCTTTGTTTATTATCAATATATAAAACGATTGATTGGAAGGCTTCATAAAGAATGACATCATTACAGTATGTAGATTCTTTCTTTTTTTAAATGGTAAATGGGCTCTTACAAATAAAACAAGTCTCACTAATAGTCTCTTATATAACTAAAGAAAAATGTAAAAAGGTTCATTCAAGCCCAAGCCCTTATTCTTAACACAAAGAATATAATGAACGGAGAGATTTACTTTTAGCAGACTTCAACTGATCATTCCGGTCAAAGTCTGGTAAACACTTTACGTCATAGATGAAGTTCTTCCTCATCTTAATATTACTTTGCAAAATATGGTTGTTAAATATAAAGCTTAACACTTTTAAGAAGTTTAGCGTGAACACGTGCTCAGTCTTTTTTCATTACTTGGATGTTTGCTGTATACCCGCCTGCTCCTTTTGTGTGTGTCTGTATAACATGTGAGGGTGTGGGCGTGCGTTGTAGTCTATCAGAAGAGGCCCTTCACTCATTGAGTCATTGAGGGTCTGGATGGCTCACACACACACACACACACACACACACACACACACACACACACACACACACACACACACACACACTCCTGCTCTACTTTGTTCTGTTGCGTACCAAAATCCATTGTGATCACAATGAGGCAGGGATACAGCTGGGCATAGCCTCATCAGTGTGAAAAATATTATATCTGTAATTATTATGTCGCTACTGGAGTGGTGGATTTGGGGAAACTAATATTTAACAACGCTGTCATTAGAATATTATATTATTTACATGATTCATCAAGAAAAAGATGGGATTTCATTTTAGGTTATTGTGTTTTTTTGGCTAAATATATAACGTACATATCTATGAGTTGCTTAATTTTCCAAGTGATGAAGCCTTCTCTGCTGCTTGAGAAGAGCTCAGTTATAGCTTCAAAACTATCACAATTAAAAGGTCCAAATGAGACACGTTTACAACTTCGTATTCAAGAACAATCCATATCTTTTGTACATTTACTGGCAGTGATTAATAAAGTATTACATTTCCAAGAATGAAGTGGCCAGTCTCCGCTGAATGAGACACTGATTTATAGTGTTTTCATCTAAAGAAATGTGAATGTGATTTGGTCCTGAGGCTGTCGTGAGTCACAGGGAGCCATTTTATCTTTTAGTTGCGCTGTCAGTAGCAGCCATTCACTCCTCTACATCGCTCTGTGTATTCATGATGACTAATGCACTCTTACTAATGGAGCCGCCTCGGTGAGGCTAAATCAGAATGGCTGTCTCACTTCCTTAAGTAATCACATGGAGATGTTCATCTAACCATGTGTTCCCATTGTGAACAGCTTAATTATGCACTGTACGCTGCAGGTAGTGCTTTAAACGGCTTCATTGTGGTTTCTCAAATATAACATTGTTTTGTATTATCTGTAACCAGCTAGCTAACACATTGAACATAACATCTCAGGTAGGGGTTGGTATCTTTGTCAATCTCACAACTCCATTTAAATATAACGCAACATTTCAATGAATTTCTAAAACAAATGTATCCCTTGGGAGCAATTTAAAGTACCATGTAGGACATGGGAATATAAACAGAATAGGCGAATTATAAAAAGATTCAAAACTATTTTGTATTCAATAAAAGGAAAGGTGGGCACTATATTTAGTCTCACACTGCTTTGATGCTTGAACAACACTGAGGAATGCATTCAGAGATAAAAACGTTTTCTAGCACTGGCCACGAAGGCTGCCCACCGCTGAAATGTGGTGCAACTTTGGTGGCCCAAAATATAAACTTGTGCATCGTCCCTGTGACGATATAAAATCAGTTTGGGGCGGACAAAGATGTTTCCTGGAAATCTGGGGGACACTTATCAGCCCTTCATTATCCAGTGTGGCCATTTCAGAAAGAAAGACCAGCTCTAAATGGAGCAGTGCCTCTAGCCTCCTATTCCAATGGAAAATATTCAAACAGATTTTGTTGCTGACGCTAGCCAAGCCGCATTCTATTAGGACACGGTAACATCTAATCCCATCTAGATATGCAGTCTCTTAAAAAAAGCCCTGATAAAGCTTGGCAGAGTACGTTTGTATTCCTATGGGCGCTTTAGTAAATGTGATTCCTGCATTGCTGCGTTTAAGTTTTTTCTCCATGAACACCCACTGAACAGCCATCGTTATCCCCAACATTGTCCTGGCGCAGGGCTCCAACTTAAAGGAGAGGTGTCATGGCCATTTCCACTGATCATAAATGATTTTCCTCTAATGGTTCTCATTATCTTTTTTGATCATTTTTACACGACTCTGCAGAACTGCTCACGTTCAGTAATGACTCCACAGTCGTATGGTTGCAAGAACGTGCCCATCTGATTGGCTGTTGATGACTAGTGACCCTTATTGCTGTAGCTGGCCCAGACAACATTACTAAATGTCCAACATGTGAGCCAAATGTCAGTTGATTCTGGTCTATGGGGAAATAATAGACTATGGTGATTTGTTGATAATTCGGTTACACTGAATAATCGCTTGCTCGCTGTGCAACTGAGTCATTTTGTGGCATGAGAAATGTGACTGGTTTGTGGTTTCAGCTGGTGTAATGTTTAAAAAATGGGCTTCACCTTGTTTGCACATGTTTTTTAAATATTCAACTTCTATGAGATGAATAAAAAATGGTAACTCACTCCGTTTGTCTCTCTTTAGATACTACTACAACAAAAGGATCCTCCACAAGACCAAAGGCAAGAGGTTCACCTACAAGTTCAACTTCAACAAACTAGTGCTGGTCAACTACCCCTTCATCGACATGGGCTCTGGTATGTACACATGTATCTACTGAGAAAACAGATAACTAACTGGAAAATGTTTTTAATATGTATTTGTTATAATTAAAAAGCCCCTTTTCCCCCTTTTTAAAAAAAAAAACGAAACCAAGCACACTTTTTTTAAGTCACGGAGAGCATAATTTATTTAGTTTTTGTACCAATTTCTTTCTTTTTCTGCCCTGGAGACATCCCTTAGCAACTGAAGTCCATGGTTATTTTCACTGAAAATAATGGAATTACACTTGACAACAAGGACTTGTTCAAGGAGCGTAGGCTGGAGGACTGACTAAACGTTTTTGGCCTTCGGGTGTCTATGGATTTCGGGTTGTTGTGTTTGAATTTCTGAACTTGACTTTCAGATTGAATTGCTGACAGCTGGGAGAAAAACATTGTGAAATACATTTATAAAATGCCAAAACGATTGCTAAACACAGTTTGTTTGGTAGTAGATGTTCCCTATTTTGACGCTGAATACTTTTTGGCCAACAACAGATGTTTTGATACTACTACACCTACTTTATCTAGGGTTACAGAGAGCCAATCAATTTTCTGAGAATTCTTCCAGAGATTGTGATGGGTAACTCACAAGTTTACTTACCGAAGATCAATCTTAGTTCAAGTTCGGTAGCCATTCTTGGTCAGTAAATATCTATCTATCAATCTAAATACTGCATTTCTTATAATGTAAACATATTCATATCAAGTACAAACTCAAGAAGAAACACTAATGATTAAGGGTGTAGTGTGTGTACTAGGGCTGTGCGATTATGGCAAAAATCCTAATCACGATTATTTGGGTCAATAATTGATATCACGATTATTTTGACGATTATTCATTGACCATTTATTGAACTTTAAAACAAATAATATTTTACCAATAAACAAGATCAACAAATATGTTGGAGCACACTTCCAAAACCATACTAAACATATATTATTAATATGATAAATAAAAATAAATTAGACCAAAATAAATGAAATCAAACATGTTGCAGTGCACTGTCACAACCTACTGAACACTCCTTAACATATAGCCAACATTTTGGTAAAACATATTCAACATATTCCACTCAGTTACACGTTGAAGGCTGGCCCACCGTCATGGTCCAGAAGTAACAGGAAATAAATGTTGAACTACAATTTAAGACCAAATAAAAATGTTTAGGCCACCATGGTCACACCATGCTGGTAGGGCTGCTCATGTCTTAAACACCAGGCTGTTTACATGGTCTGGTTTCAGAGATGAGCGCAGGCAGGTGACGATATTGCCACCTGTACTGAAGACCCTCAGCCACGCCCCGACACATGGGTGACGCCGGGCCAATCACAAAGCTTTGATGCGTTCAAGTGCATTATTCTGGCACAGGAAGATTATGTTACAGGACATTAACGATAAAACAGAATATTGTTGTTCTATTTTTAGACACATCTCGCGATCGACTGGTTGGGCACCCCTGGGCTAGACCATAGGTCTGTTGTGGTAGCAAAGTAGTCATCTCTCTCAACTTCCCCACGGCATTTGTCATATAGTGCAGGCAGCGCAGACCTGCTGAAATAATACCGAGACGGCATCGCGTAACGCTTGTCCAACGTGTTGACAAGTTGCTTAAAGCCCTGGTTGCTAACAGTGCTAACTGGGCACATATCTTTAGCGATGTGGAATGTAATGACAAAGTACTTGCAAATAGTGGAAATAGTTTTACCCTTCTTTTTAACGAGTTGCTGCTCTTGTTCTGACATCTTCGCTCGCGCTGAACACTCACAACACATGTCACTCCCACGTGGCCGAGTGGGCTTTTAGGGAGGGGCGAAAGCGCACCCAGCAAAATAATCGTATTTTGTCAATTATGCTGTTTTCATAATCGTCGCAAACCATAATCGTAATCGCGATTAAAATACGATTAATTGCACAGCCCTAGTGTGCACTATATTACACTTATTAGGGTTTCCCTCTTCTGTAGTGTGTTTTATTATATATGTCTTTGTAAATGGTCTGCAAAAGTTTATCTCCCACCCTCCCCCCGCCCCCCCCCTGCCTGAAACACCTCCATTGGACTCCTTTATTTACTTCTGTAACATAATGACATCACTATGTAACTCTCACACTTCTATTGGCTAGCGCTCCAACACATTGTACGTGATAGGCTTAGGTGCAGGACATTTCTAAGTGGTTGACCAATCACAACAGAGCAGGCAATCTAACCAATGAGAGCAGACTGGGCTCTGGTTTCAGACAGAGGGTGAAAAGAGGGCATAGTTAGCTAAAGTAAAAATGCAGCACAGGCATTCTGAGAAAAATCGAGACCTTTTTGAACATTAAAGCATGGAAACATATGACATAAGAAGCACAAAATACAAACATGAATCTGAAAATGTGCATAATGGGGCCCCTTTAAGACATCAGTGTGCCACGTCCCAGTTTATCCCTCTCCTCCTCTCCTCTGAAGTCTTCTCTCGTCCCGATCCCGGCCACCCAGTGTAAACACAGCCCATATGGAGCGGTGGATAGATACTGGGTGACATAAGTGCAGCACGAAACTTTAATTATAGCCTCCGTGTGATGTGGCCCACACACTGACATGTTGTGATATGATGGTTTCATACGACGGTTACACACGCACACATGCCCACGTCAATCTGGATCGATAGGCGCTCACAAACATACACATTATATAAACGCAGTTTTCTGCTCATCCTCTCTGACACACACACGGCTGTGTTTGTTTGATGGAGTTTGAAATGAGTTTTTTAGATGGAGAGACCCACACACAGTCAGCAGTACTGGAAAAAACAGAGGAACCCAACCCATGTTTGTGATGGCAGTAAGAGCGACTTTTCCAATATTTAATTCTGGCACGTGCGCGGATGCCAAGAATTTATTGCATTGCCACAGTCTCCCTGGCAGGAGAGAAAGAGAAGGGAACTTGTGGCTTTCTCTAACGCAGTGTTTTCTTTCTGTGTGCCTGTGACCCTATGAGTAAAATAGTTGGAGTTATGGGACATATGTGACCTATTTTAAAACTGTTCTCACTTAGCCTCAGTTGCATCTATTCTTGCAGATATTTTACTTTTATTTGTCCATGTTTTGGATATCTCTCTGAGTTTCAATGGAACAGTAGCGTCTCCTACCAGAAGCAATGTTCTGGATTATTCTTAAACCACGCTATAACTGATTATTAAATGAACATGGACTTGACTTCTGTTTTAACATCCCTACTGTGAGCAGCATAAATGCAGAAAACTTTGAGACTGATACCTCACAAAGCAAAACTAACCTCATACACAGCCGCCATTAGACATGAGGGACAAAATACTGTATTCCTTTTTGTAAATTCCAAAGAACAGGAGTAATAACGTCACCTTTGAGCCTGCCTTCTTTCAACTAGCTCCTGTGACTGAATACAGTCTCTTATCGAGGGGTTTCTATTATCGCTCTTTCTGAAGAAATAAGGAGTGCTGTAGCGAGCTTACTTGGACATTTGAATTAATAAAATATCGATAAGACTTCAAATGAAGTTTTACTTTGTCTCTCTTTTAAGATGATGAGCCTGTTTTCAATTCACATTGCTTTTCTTTTCTGAAATAATTTAAGTAAACATGTTGATTTGGAGTGAAAACCCTTAAGATTTCCGTCCCTTTTTGACACCCTACTTACAGCAAATGTGGTTAAATACTACACGTCCAATAATTCAGTGAGCAGAAAAGTCAGGCAATGATTGTCTTTTCCCATCTCGTTATAAACTGTGATCTGATTCTATTCTGTACACAAAGTATTACTTTACTAACTATCCCTTCTCTCTTGTTCCTCTTCACAGGTAGGGTCCCTCAGAGTGCCCCTCCAGTGCCAACCGGAAACAGCCACTTCCGTTTCCCCCCCCTCCACACCCTCAGATGTGCTCTCCTCCAATGAGGAGCTGCGCAGCCCCGGCATGTTCAGCAGCGTGGCTCGCCGCATGGCTCGCGGCTCTGTGAGCGACTGCAGCGACGGCACATCCACCAACTCTGAGCTGGAGGAGGCCATGGGGGCCGAGGAGCGAGGCGCGGGGCCGGACCGGGCCTACAGGGGTCTGCTGCCCCCCCGCCTGCCGCACGACTCTCTATTCAGGATCTACCCAGCAGTCCTCGGCAGGCACGGCCCCAGGGTGCACCCAGATTCCCTGTCTCCTTTCCCCGTCTCCCCCCTGCCCGGCCCTGGTGGGCTCCTGGGCCCAAATCTGTCCCCAGCCCTCTCCATGACCCCCACCCCCCACATGTCCTACACCCCCTCTCCCTCCATGTCCTCTCCGATGTTGGGCTCCCACTTCTCCTTCAACCAGGAGGACATGAAACACTACCTGCAGGCCCACACCCAGTCCGTCTACAACTACCACCTCAGCCCCCGGGCCTTCCTCCACTACCCAAACATTATCATCCCCCAGCCCCACCGCCCCACCCCGGAGAAGGCGGCCGCCCATCACCTCCACTGCCCGCCCCTGCCGCTTTCTCATCCGCTCAGCCAGCAGTCAGCAGGCGGCGACGAGAGGGATCAGCACCCGTCACCGTTCAAGTTCAAGCTGCAGCCGCCGCCGCTCGGGCGCAAGCAGAGGGACTCTGGGAGCTCATTGGCTGGTGCCTCGTCCTCCTCTTCCTCCAGCCAGTCCTCCTCATTCACAGGGTCAAGTCAGATAATCAACTCCTCTTTGGCTACGGGGCCTCCTAAGATCAAGGTGAGTCTGCGCGCACACGCACGCACGCACACACATACACAAAGGATGTGGTGTTTCTACTTAGTTATGGTTTTGGAAATGCCTCTCAAACATTTCAAGCATGAATAACATTTTGCCCGAGTCATAAATAAAATGTCATGCTGTGAAATATTCTTCCTCTCCAGGTGGAGCCCATATCAGACATCGACTCGGAAGAGGAGGTGCAGGTGACCGACATCAGCGAGGATGATGAGCTCAATCACAGTGACGAGGAGGAACAAGGTGGCATTTTCACACCGACAGCTCATCACTATCACCATCAGCTCAACAGCCATCTCCGGGCCAACGGAAACATGAGCAGCCTCTCCGCGCCTCCACACAGTCACCCTGAAGAAGACCCCGACGATGATGTCTTCAAGACCCCTGCCACTCCCCCCATCGGCAGTAGCAGCATCGGCAGCAGCAGCAGCAGCAGCAGCAGCAGCCAGGCCTTCCCCCTGATCAACCTGAAGAGCGAGCCAGGCCACGTGGCTCCCATCAGCCCCTGCATCCCGCTCAAACTGCGCTTCAAACGCCGCTGGAGCGAAGACCAGAAGATGGAGGCGGACGGAGAGAGGGGCGAGGCAGAGGATAAGAAAGTGAGAGCTGACAGAGAGGAGGAGGAGAAAAGAGTAGGGCAGGCAGAGAACGGGGGAGGAAGAGGAGGAGCGGGAGGTGTTATTTTGGGGTTGATGCTGCCACCGCCTCCCACCCAGCGCAGAGCGAGCTCGGAGCTGCAGAGGGCCACGGCGCAGCTGTCACTGGAAAACACTGGCTGCTGAACACACATACACACAGGGGAGTCAAAACACACACACCCTTAGTCTAGTCCACACACTTAATGGAGTGCAGCAGGAATGAGTCCTAAACCCTGGAAAGCATTCTTGTCCTTCAGGTCCCATGCCCTTTTTTGACTGTGCTATCCACAAGCCTTAAATAAGGCCTGTGGTTAACACAAGCTTAAGAGATTTTCACATTTGTTTTACGACATAAAATACTTCAGCAAAATACCTCATTAGTGAGCTGGAAGGTTTTACATGTCTTAAAACTTTAAACCTTCAAAGCGGGTCCCTAACAAGTGGCTAAATGAGACTACAGAGTTTGTCTGGGACCTTTCACCTTTTCATCATCATCCCTGCAGCGCTCTATGGGTTTAGACCATAATGCCTCGTGGTAACTTGACAGCAGTAGTGTGCATAATGCTGGAAAATAGAGATAGTGACTGAAAGGTGATTCTAGAAACACACTTATATTTTGTCTGAATTTGTACATGTGTCATATGTAGGACATGCTCCTACATGACACATGTTCACAATATAGTAAAAACAAGATGTTTCCATAGTTACTTCTCAAGTTTCGTCACTGTTTTAGCAGCATCAACACACTTTCCCTTAGCACCTTCCTATGGTCAGTACTGTGAGCTACCAGACATTATGGCCTGTGTCGGGCCATACAGCCTGCTGTGTGTGTGTAGCCTCTAATGTACTGCAAGCCAAGCCCCATCAAACATGACCAGCAGACAGTGTTCTTGCTGTGACTGACAACATTGAGAGATAATCCAACTTTATTCTGACTAACTTTTAACTAAAGAGTCCTACAAAGAGGGGGTCTTTATCTCTTAGGACTTGCACATCGCCCTCATAGTGCCAGTTAAATCACACCAGTGCCCAGATAATGTATTCACAACTGGTCTATTTGTTTATCCGGGGCAGTGGAATAAATCATCCTAAAGGCAGCCTGCATCGTACAGCAGTAGAACTTCTCACCTTGTACAGACAGATCCTAACGTTACTAAAACCTTTCATCAGCCCCGATAGAGATTACACAAGTGCCTCTCTGTCCTCACCCAGCAGTCGTTTCCAAGATGAAGAGCATCCAAAGGGGGAAGAAAAGACCTTGCTCCGGTGGGCCTCAGACTGAAGAGGGTGATTAGAAAACGCTCTCCAGTCACGGCCTTTTCTCCAGGAAAAAACCTTGGACACTATGAGGCTGCACCAAGGCCACGTTCCTCATTCACTACAGTGTATAAAGACATGAAATGAGGCTGGTGTTATACATGTTGAAGACAGTCAAACTAGGCACGATGGAAGATGGAGATTGTGATGAACTGACCTGCCACATGAGACGTTTGTTAGCCAGTGAATGGACGTGTACAGAGAAAACAAACCTGGGTCTTTAAAGAAAAAGCCGGTTCTATCTCTCCTTTTTCTCTCATTGAGGAAATGAGGAAGCAGCTACTTGAAAGGCTGTAATTACAGACACACTTGGTCCTGAATGTGTGTGCGTAGAGAGCTGGTGTCAAAAAGAAACCCTATGCCTCGAGGATACAGCGTTTTGTGTCTTTGTACAATCTTTGGAGGGTTCTGAGGGCATTCGTCGTGTTGTCTCCCTCTAACACAGATCTGCAGCTCTCTTCTGCATTCCCCCCATCTGTTTCATTTTGAAAAGACTGTATTCTTTCTGTCAAAGGACATGGACAGTATTTTAGGGCATTTGCAGTGATCTGAGGTCTTTCTGTATTTTGGTGATAACAGTGGTATCTGTTCACGTGATGCGATGATTGAAGAGATCTGATTGGTCTAGGTGAGAGAAAGCATGTAATGAATGTCGAGCATCAAGGTTAACTCAGGCTAAACCCCTCACTGAGATAGCGAGAAACATATTTTTATGACATTTTATTAAGTAAGAAGACCCATTTTAACGAACAAACTATCCCAAATAAGATTGTGCCTTTTTTTTAAAGCCAACAAAGACTTTTATCAAGCTACCCCCAGCAAAATATTTTATCACACACACTACCACCATGCCTTCTGTTTTTTGTAAAAGAGAGATACAGAATAAGTAAATCTACACATATATATTTTATTCAAATATATATTGAATTCAAATATTATATTCAATATGCTCATTTGATACAGATCGGGAAAATCCTACTATTTTTAAACGGTAAAAGATATGTATATATTCTAACGGGGCATATTATTACCAGTATAATTCAGCCTATGCCTTCTCACCCTTGCCTTCTCTTGACCGTTGAGCTGCAGTGACAAAGGCCACCGGTGTCAGAGTTATATATTTATATTGTACAAATATTAAAAAAGACAGTTATTGTGTATTCAGGGGATGAGGATAAATGGGTGAGCAGAATTTTAACCACACCTGGGTCGAATTGTATTTACTTTGTTGGTCGGAGTGTTTGTTATACCATACCTGGAGTAGCAGATTTGCCGGGGTTTACAACATGACACAGATAGGAGAACCCCACCAAAAATAAACACCAGAGTACTTCTGATTAAAAAAATAAATAAAAAAGTGGCGCTGGTCCAAACTTAGAGAGGGTTACGGACTTGCTTGTTCTGATTAAATGCGAGGATTCTGATTGGCCGACAGCAGGTGTTCACGTTACCTCACAGGACCGCAGCTGCTGATAAGACTGGACTTTGGTTGGAGCGTGGACTCTAGCGGCTTTGTGTCAACTGGGTGTGTGAACCCTGCCCATTCACACACACACACACACCCTGCCCTGGTTACAGTAAGGCTTTACTGTGGCTAGAATAAAAGAGAAACATGACATCACACGTGACATCAGACGCCCCCGCAGTCTCTCTGGAGTAGACGGCAAACCAAAGACACATTTACACACACACACACACAGGAAATGGCATCACAAAACCTCGGAGTGGAGAGAAAGGGACTTCCCATAACCTGACTCGCTCATTTTGCGCTGTGTGTATGTGTGTTTTCTATGGTTATGCCGTCTACACACACCCACACCCTATCACCTTATACAGTCCCACTTTATTTTGACATTTTTCTTTACCAGGCACAAAAACACTAAATCTATCCTTTTAATTGTCGACAAAGTCAGCATTAAAAGTGTCAAACCTCCTTTTTTTAATGTCATTTTCTTTCAATAAAAATCGCTTTAAGTGCCAGATAAAGAAATATATTTTAGCTATATAGAATGTAGCAGTTTAAAAGAGTGTCTGGTAAAGATAAACACCGAGTCGTACCCGCACTGCTGCACCTGTGCTGCCTTACCTTTCATGGTCTCGAACAAAAAAGAGAACAACTTTTCCCCCAAAATTCCCCTTAATTCCCTCAATGCTGTTCTTATTTGTTTCTGTGTTTTTTCAGACATATTACTGTTTTGATTATTTTGTACCCTCTTGCCCATGGCCCGGTCTCTTCTCATGAATACTGTATGTTTTTTGTTCCACTCTTTCACATTAACTTCAACTAGTTTTAAGTGCAGTCTTTTTTTATAACCATATTAACATGGACAAGAGGAGGGTCACTTAATCCCCACATGATATAGAGCAGGGGAAGAAACTTTTTTTTTAATGTTGTATATATATTTTTTCCATTTTGGAGCATTGTGTAAGAAAAAAAGCTTTGTACTGTTTAACCATTTTATTTTGGCTCCCTTCTCCGTCTCTGCTCTCACGTCCAACCCGACTGTGAGCTGTCACTCCAGAGGAGAGATGGAGACTTTTTGTTTTCATCCCGGAGGAACCACCTGTACTAGTTTCTCTACTCTCTGTTCATCTTCATTTGTAATTAAACAATAATCAGGGTTCATTAAAAAAGGTAAAAATGGATGTCAGTTTTCCTGTCTTTCTTTCATTCATTCACCTTCTACAAGCCGTGGAATGAAAATTATAATAATAATCAATATTTATTGTAGGTGCTCTACTTGAGTATGATGTTGGGGTACTTGAAATGTAATTTACTTAAAGGTCCCATGTCATGCTTTTTCCGGTTATTACCCGTCCCCTTGTGTTATGAAGGTTTTTCTGCATGTAAACGGTCTGCAGAGTCACAAACCCTCAAAGTGCACCCTGTAGCGAGTAAAACTCTAACACAGAAAATACCTGTCTATGCTGCCCCAGAACGCCTCGTTGGACATTTTTATTTTTTCATTGTTTTCTTCCCGAGTATGGTGACGTAACGATAACCAGGTCCAAATGGACCAATCCGTGGAGCTCCTCACACACACACACACACACACACACACACACACACTCAGCCTTATATTTTCTCAGCCGCGGCTCCATGGATCCCCACTCACAGTTCGCCACAAACTCACGTGTGTGTGCTCAGGCTGAGTTCCGCGGTGTCTCGCAGACCCCACGCAGCAACCAGGAAACGACACCAGTAATCCAGCTCACACTGTCCGCTCCTCGAGACTCAAAGGGCGGAGCAGCGAGCCCTGCGACGTCCCGCCAACACGGCACCCAGACCCCACGCAGCATTCTCATCTGTTTGTCATTACTGGTGTCATTTTCTGGTTGCCAACAAACGCCATTGTAACACATAAACACACATCAGAGCACAGTGGTCTCATAGGGAGGAGGGGGGGCAGGAGCTCTAACAAGCCGTTTAGGACAGAGTGAATACACATACTATACAGAGATGCTGTATGAGTAAACCAATGTGAGTTTGGAACATTGCACAATGTAAATCTATTCTAGTAGACCTCAACAATGGAATTATGATCAGTAGAAATGGCCATGACATGGGAACTTTAATATTAACTTAATATAATCCAGTCAAAAAAACATAACTTTTCTTATGGTCAATTCTGCATAACAATTATCTTAACCTATGGTACTTTAAGTGTAATTTAATGCAAATACTTAGTACTTTTATTAAATATTTTTGTATGCAGGACTTGTAATAGTTTATATTTACTGTATTGCCACTTTAACTTCAGTCCTTCAATAATTTTACCAAGAAATATTTAGGGGACATTTTAAAATGTATGATCTAGTTTTGCTGCTTTGAGTTTTAAAGTGGCCCTATTTTGCTTATTGCTTTTCGATTGGACTCCTTTGTTCTCTTCTGTGACATAATGACATCACTATGTAACACTTGTGCTTCTTTTGGCTAGTGCTCCAACACTGTAGCCTCATCCCAATACCCCTCCTCGACCCCTCCTTTCCCTCACTCGCGTCCCTTCCTTGCATCTTAGCTCCGATCTTAGCTCTGTGTAAGATGCGAGCGAGAGACACGAGGAGGTGACGCGAGGACAGAGGAGTCCTCAGGTATTAATTGGGATGTCCTCGTTCACTCAAACGTCACTCTTAAACGACGTCTGTTAATTATGACGTGCACAGCTGTATCCCCTCTCATCGGGCTTAACTGAATAACCCTTTAGAACCGGCCCATTTCTGGTTACATATTTATTTAAATGAATGAATCTTTCTCTGGTTAGTCAAGGAATTCAATGTATGATGGTTGGTCCTGCTTTTGTGTTCCGTTTTGGTGTAAAAGGTAGCTTACATTTAAATAAAAATATAATATAGTAATGTGAAAGCCTTTTAGAAATGAATTGCACATAATAATTCCCACGGAGCTGTGAGCACTTATACATTTATGTGACGCTTTTCCACTCATCTTCCAGTTGTCGGTTTTCCTCTGTTGAAATCGACCAGCTGTGAATGTGGGGGCGGGGCTTTTATACGCGAGTAGTGAAAACACTTCCGCGTAGTCTGCTGGCGTGTCTCCTCCCTCACCCCTCCTCGACTCCTCCGTGTGCATTTCAGCTATTGGGACGTCCTTCAAAATGGCGTGTCTCGATCGATTTCCGGGTCAAGTCCCGGAGGAGGGGAAGAGAGGAGTCGAGGAGGGGTATTGGGATGAGGCTATTGTATGCAATTGGTTAAGGGGTGGGACATCTCTAAGCTGTTGACCAATAGGCGCATTCACACCGCAGTACTTTTCCCACAAAGGTTCATGAGAACTTAGTTCATGAGAGTTCATGAGAACTCTTTAGTTCTCATGAACTAAGTACAGATCGCGTTCACACCGGAATAAATCCCTGGGTTGCATTCCAATAGTCCATTTATCTTAGGAACCTTCCTAACGGAGTGAAATGACCCGGAAGTACGTCACTGGCAGCCATGATAAGTGCCGTTTCAATTCTCCAAATGAAAGGAAATGAGGTTTCAAACTTCCTTTATAACCTCCTTTAGCTTAGGAACCACTGGACCTCCCTAACCGAAAGGAGAGGAGAAAATGCTGCCCCACAATGCATTGCAGCCGCAGCATTTGCCGTCACTGTTCACAGTCACAGTCGTCCGTTCACGGAAACAACCGATTATGACCGAGAAATTATATCATGAAAGTTACGGTGCTTATTAAGCATTTTAAATGTATGTGGTAAGTTGCCAAAGTGCTTTTTTCGGAACGTTCATCAGTATTATAATCAAAAAGAGAAATATGAACGTTAGTTTTTACTGAAATGATCAAATAAAGTCAACATTTCAAAGTCTTTACTGAGCTGTGTGGGGTTTGTTCAACTTTTAAAAGATGTTTGAATGGTGATATACACAGTGATAGATGTTAAGGACTAACGTTTATAATAAATACATTTGTATTGATTTTAAGATATTTTCATAGTTCATACAATCATACGTATTGGGATCATTTGTATTAATGTGGACCGGAGGGAGAGGGTGACGAACATAAGTTTTACTTTCCTTTTTTATTTCAATTCCAACTTTGGTCATGAAGAATATGTTTCTCTGTTGTCCACGTTCATAAAGCATAAAGCAACAGCATCAGAGCATGGTGCAGAGTCTCGAGATGAGTTTACAGTAGTCCCTCGTTCTTATTAAACATCCATGTTGTAGTCCGCTGTATAGAAAACTGTAGTTTCCATAGTTTCCCCACAGCAGCAGACGCACATTCATGACGTCCGCTGGCGCATCATAAACACGTCGGATAGTGAAAGTGCATTCGGATTCTCTAAAGTCTCTTCTCCTAAATCCTTTTGAATTCTCCTATCCACTATCCCTTAACCCCGTGACGTTCCACTCAGAGGTCAAGGAATAGGAGATAGGGTTAGAATTTAGGAGCTGATTTTTGGATTATCGGAACGCAACCCTGGGGTGGATTAGGCAAATGAAGCCGCTGACGTCACTTCTTCTTCTTCTGCTTTGGGTTTACTGGCAGGCCGCAAACCACTTCACGGCGTATACTGCCGCCCAAAGTCCCCGACCGGAAGTCCCCGGAGTTGGGGACTGGCTTCAGTAGAAGCTGCTGGGAGTTCCAGCAGCTTCTACTGAAGCCTTCCGAGTAAATCGCCAGAACGCCGACACCTCCTCATCTCCACCACTCCCATGTTTTATTTTGTGTTGCCATAAGTTAGTCTCTCTGCGTTTCTGCGCTGGGCTAATGCTAATAATGCTAATGCGAGGATAATAAAATGGCGGCTTCACAAAACTTTTTGGGAGTTTTACGGGGCGTGGTTTGCAATCCGCCCAGCCAATCAGAAATATAGCTCTTTTCTCACAAGAGAGCCGCACGAAAGTCCCTGCTCTCTAGCAGGGACTTTCGTGCGGGTCAAAAGGTTCTCATGAACTAATTTTAGTACCGGCTCTTTTTGGTGTGAACGCCACAAAAGAGTTCTCATGAACCTTTGTGGGAAAAGTACTGTGGTGTGAATGCGCCTAATCACAACAGAGCCGGTCAGCTAAACAATCAGAGCAAACTGGGCTCTGGTTTCAGACAGAGGGTGAAAAGAGGCACAGGCAGTATGAGAAAAATAAAGAGCTTTTTGAACATTAAAGCATGGAGACATGTCACAGTAGAGACACACAATACAAATATGAACCTGAACATTAGCATAATAGGGCCCCTTTAAAACATTGTAATGACTGGTGAAGAATATTCATTATTTTTTCAAGCTAAAAAATGCCAGACTTTACTTTTCCACATTTTATGTGATAGTAAATTCATGTGGGCAAGTTTAAGATGTAATGGATTTATTTGTCCTAACTTTTTTAGACACCACAGACTAAACAATTAGTATTATGACTAAACAATGACAGTAGTTGTTAATATAACTAAAGAGTCACCCAAAGGTGAAATTGGGTTTCGATTTGCATATTTCTTGGTGAAAAGTAATACGTTTTACTCACACATTCACCATCCTGTATAACCGTCAGATCTCCTTGCTTTCTGCTGGTGGTTTTGTATTTAACAACCTGAATCCTTGCCTCTCTTTCTGAACGCTTTATGACTCAAGTCATGTCAACAGCAAGTCAAATACTCTGTATAAGTGCTAGCACATTTATGAAAGAAAAGCCAATCGGGGATAAGCATTCTAAATGCTCACAATAGGCCTGTGATGGATTTATTCTTTTTGTCCTTGTCTGGGAGACAGCTGCAACAAAAAGCAGCGTGCTGTGAGAGATTTGCTTATGACAATGAGGGACGTTTCAGGAGGAAGTGCAGATGTTTGTGTGAGGCCGGCCTTGTGACTCTCAGTTCAGGTGCAGAAAAGTAAATGGAAGAGATTTCTGGTCTTTGTTCAACATTTTTCATTTTATTTTCAGTTTACTAGTGGATGCCTTTTGATGAGAAAAATAATTTAATCATAGTCTAGCGCTGGGTTAGTAAATTAGATATAAAATAATACTTGAATGCCCGGTTTAATTGATTTTCTTTTATGTTTACTCCATATTTTAAGCATCTATCTGATGTTCCTGAGTACAGCAGCAGAATCAATTTGGTTTTGTTCGTCAGCATTAGTCATGATTGCCTCGAGAATTTGTATAATTATGATTCTAATTGTCTCCCAGATGACACCTCAGCAATCCGCCTACCTAATGTTTTTACTTCTGCCCAAATGGAAGTTTTAATTACTCACTAGACTGGCAAATGTCTTCCACACATGATGTGGGTTTATCTGCTTCATCTCACGGTCTGACTCATGACTGGGCCCCTCTCTGGGTGCTGCTGGTCTGGGTCCCATTAGAAGGTCACTAGTTGTGCTCTAGGGTTTGTCTTTTCAGGCTTGTATTTAGATCTGAGAATGCTGATGACGTTTTTTTATTTTATATCTTTAAAACTTTTTATGAGGTTTGGCTTCATTTCTTAATCAATAAAATCAACTTATCATTTGGTCTATAAAATGTCAGAAAGCATCACAACTTCCCAGAAGACAAGAAGATGTCTAAAAATAGCTTTATGTTGTTGTTGTGTCCAACCAACACACAAAACCCCCCTAAGACATTCAGATTTAAATTACAGAAGAGTAAGAAAACCAACAAATCTTCACATTTAAGAGACTGAGAAAATATTTCTTAATCTATCAAATTACTTTAATAAATGTGTTGTAAAAAAAAAGAAGACATTTAGAGAAAACTGCTAGGTCTTACAAAAACATCACATGTTTTTCAGAGGGAGGGGTCTTTGGCTGCACGTTAAAATTTGAAAGTACATTTGAATGACCCAAGACAATTAGGTTAATTAAAGCAGAGAAAAGTTAAGAATACAGAACACTATGTGCTGTTCTGTATTCTTAACTTTTGTAATCTCACTTAAACTTCTGCAGTTACATGGACAAACAATGAACCTTGTCGTACTGAACAACTAAAACAAAGCCTCTTTATGTTTTTTCTGGTGCTGTTTCTGTATTATATTAACTAAAAATGCTCTAAAGACTGCTGGAGCAGAAGCCTCCAGTGTATCACTCTCCTGGTGTCTCACTGACGCTCTGGCGCCCCCTGCTGCCACTTTCTGTCCTTTCCCGCTTCTGCTCTGGAAATTCTCGCGAGACTTGTCATGGACTCGTCAGGTCGCATGTGAAACCATAATGGCTTCATAATTGACTGTTGCCTTAAGTTTGTTTACATAAAACGTAAACACACATTTCTGTCTAGACTAATTCATCCCGTCTGGAAACTTGTAATGAGGTAAAAGTCTACATGGTGGCAGGTAATGGAAATATAACAGTGTCTTAATAGTGTGCACTGTTTAATTAGCAAAAACACCAGAGTTTGGCTTGTCAACCGAGCATAAAAGATATATTTCAGGAAAAAACAACACTGAAATTATACATTTATTTACCAACTTCATAATATACTGCACAGAAAGAGTCCATTGGAGGACAGGAATTGGACTGATGCATAAAACATCTCATGTAGGCTAAACAAGTAGCTACATGTAGCTAAACAGCTAGCTTTGGTCTGATTTATGCTAAGAACATGCCAGCACCTATAAAGCTCACTAATTCACTTTTTACACAATTTCTGTTTAATTTCCACATGAACTAAACGTTGGTATTTGCTCAATTGTTGTATTTAAATACACTTTTTAGGTACTTTTAATGTTCTTCTTATGCTCAACTACAGTTCAGAGGGAAATATAGTGCTTTTTACTACATTACATCTATCTGAAAGCTTTTGTTCCTTTACAAATCAAGATTCTTCCACCCAGCACATAAGAATATTTACATATTTACAGCTAGAACCAAAACATAACTGATTGACGGAAAAATAAACTGCCTGCTATTTTGCAAATAATTTTCAGTTGCAGTTCAATACAAAATAGTTTAAAAATTAGCTCCAGCCTCCAGCTCTAAACAAACATAACATTCTGCTACCACCATAAAGCATGATTAATAATAAATTAATGATGTAAAAAAAAATCATAATTCTATTGATACTTTAAATACATTTTCCTGATGAAAAACGTAATGTATTTGGTTATATTCCCCCTCTTGCTGAATAGTATTCATGTAGCAGCTATGTGACGGACAGCAGCATCACCTCTAAGGAATACCTAAATAAGTAAGTCTTCTTCTTCTTCTTCTTCTCTCTGAACCTACACATGTCATTTTCTAAACTTTCTTCACTTTCACAGCCTCTTTGTGTTCTTACTTTTAAAGTCTGGTTAATCATTGCGGTATTTCTTTCATCTCTGCCCCCTCCACCTCTGGGTGTCACCCCTCTCCCCCTGCAGTCTGATTTGAAGCATTCATCGGCTGCTGATCTCAACAGGGAAGGGCCCGTATTAATGGGAGGCTGATTGACGGGCTGTTTGGCCTCCAGCCGGGAGGGATTGTTGTCTGGCTGTGGGACGAGGTCAAGGGTCACGGTCCGGAGAGGCCGAGACAGAAACCAGATCACAACAGAAGGCTAATTATCATGCATTGTGGCCGGGCTCCTGCTGGGACTCCGCCTTCACTTTCACCAGCAGGTCACACTGAGAACTCTACACCTCCCTGGTGAGATACGTAACTAATGTATTACTTATTCTGGGATTTATGTGAGAGTGGTTGCTTTGCTTAAAATCCAGGATAGTCTATTTAACTATTATAGGGCCTAACAAATAATATAATATTGTAAGTATTTAATCAGCTCACAAGTACTATATAATTGCAAATAAAATATATTATATATATAATTATTTTTCATAATACATATATTTAAATATGATATATTTACAATATACTTACTATATGTATGTATATAAAAAAGTATATTATTATAATATAATATAATGATATAACATGTTAATAATGTAAGTATGTATATACATATTTATTATTCATAATTTGTATTATTCTTCAGAAAATTCTAATCTTAATGTGTGCCTGCCCTATGCACATATGTATCGATATCGTTTTGAAAATATATTTTTTAAATAAATGTGACATTCATTTGACTAATAACCAATAATAACTCATCATTTTGTATTCCCTCGTTTCATGTCTGTTTTTATATTTAAAAACAAAAACAAAACAAAAATCAAACCCGGCCGCCCAAGTTAGTATGGTTTCCTGGGAGGAGCTTGTGCCAAACATTTTGTAGGGGCGGTGGTGGCGAAGTCGATAGGGACTTGGGTTGGTAACTGGAAGGTCACCAGTTCAAGTCCCGGCAAGACCAAGTTCTACCGAGGTGTCCCTGAGCAAGGCACCGTTCCCTACACTGCTCCCCGGGCGCCGTTCAAAATGGCAGCACACCGCTCCTAACACAGGATGGGTCAAATGCAGAGAAACAATTTCCCCACGGGGATTAATAAAGTATATCACAATAAAAAAACATTTGTACTCATTTAAACCAAAACTTTGTAATATTAAGGATCATCTCACTAGTACCCATACTGTAATCACTTATTTTAAATAAATTAGTTGTTTTCTCCTGTGTCCCCTAATGTGATGCTAAATGTCAATTGGATTTATTTCAATAAGAAACTCACCTTTTTTCTCACTTATCATTTCTTTTTCCTTGACGATCAGATGTCTAAGGAGCCCCTAAAGCAGGGGTGGGGAACCTTTTTCCTCTCAAGGGCCATTTCAATTTTTTCAACATCCTCCGAGGGCCGTACAAATTATTGACCTCTGCTTAAAAATACTAAAATCACAGCCCATTCATTTCACCTTTCTTTCATGCTGTGCAAAGAAAAAGCAACCTCTGAATCCATATTTTACCATGACTCGTGCATGCACGTGCACGGTTGTGGCATGACCACCAAAACAGAAAGATATGGACACAAGATGTGGGCAATTTTTGAAGTTAAAAGCATCAATCTGGTGCACTTTAAGAGTTAAGAGATTTATGAATACATATCTCAACACCCATATGAAACAGAACAGTAAGCAGATTTTTTTAATGGATATTTTACAAATCACTCTCCTTTCAAACTGTATTGTTGTTTATTAATAACAACTTTTTTTCACTGTCATATAGTATTTTATACCTGTTTACTTTATTCTCTTGTTTTTTTTACAACTATAATGATCATATAAAGATGTGCATTTACCTCACTGGTTGTAGAAAAAGCTTCTTATATTCGTTAGCATAGCTAGCTAACCAGATGCTAATAACAACAAAGTTATTGACTGTATGATCAGTATGACAGATGAACAAATCGCCACTGGGCTTTCAACTAAAGACACAGACACGCAAAAAACCTCCTTATGGGTACTGACATTTGTGAAGTCCCGGCCGGAGCGACGTCCTGGTGCTCTCCGGCAGCTCTAAACCCCTGTCGGACGAGAGATATACCACGTGATGACACGTTAGGCTCGTGTTGTGTTCAAGGACCCTGACCTTGGCCAGGAAAAACAGGTACTCGCTTGTTAAATTATTTTGCGGTCTAGATTTTTTTTTTTTAAATCTTTTTTGCGTGAGTTACCTCGAGGGCCGTATCAAATTGTTTCGCGGGCCGTATACGGCCCGGGGGCCGGAGGTTCCCCACCCCTGCCCTAAAGGGACATGTAAATAAAAAAAAGTTTTTTTTGTTACTAACTCGTGCGCACTTTTTTTTGTTGAGAAAGTTACCGGTGCGCCAAGGAGGAAGTGAAGCGCACAGGAGACAACCATTTCATTGCAGACTGTTATGTTTACGTGTGAAAATGACCGTGCATACATTATTTGATATATATATCGTACTTAGACGGCTAGTGACGGGCGGCCCACTTTGGTACCGGCCCAATGGGATTCGTCCCGAACGTCCCGATGGCCAGTCCACCACTGGCTCTGTGTGTGTGTGTGTGTGTGTGTGTGTGTGTGTGTGTGTGTGTGTGTGTGTGTGTGTGGTGTGTGTGTGTGTGTGTGTGTGTGTGTGTGTGTGTGTGTGTGTGTGTGTGTGTGTGTGTGTGTGTGTGTGTGTGTGTGTGTGTGTGTGTGTGTGTGTGTGTGTGTGTGTGTGTGTGTGTGTGTGTGTGTGTGTGTGTGTGTGTGTGTGTGTGTGTGTGTTCTGAGTGTTTGTTTCCCTATAAAACAGCTGCGGGCAGCAGGTACTCTGAAAGTCACGGACATTAATTCGTAGATCAAAGCAGACTGGTTTACAGACTCGCCAGTGTTTTGCCAATCCGGTGCTTAAACCAATAGCTCTACACCCCTGGCCGAAATGTCCATAAAATTAAGTCTGACTTCAAAATATATCTAAAATAATGTATGCACTGTCATTTCCCCACGTAAACATAACAGTCTGCAATGAAATGGGTTGTCTCGTGTTCCACTTCCTCCTTGGTGCATCGGTAACTTTATATAAAAAAAATAAAGTCAGGAAAACGGATTTGTTTCTCGTGCGCACGAGAAACAAAACCGTTTTCCTGACTTTATTTTTTTTCTCTCTCTTTTTTTTTTCTTTTTCCATGTCCCTTTAGGGGCTCCGTAGATGTCCCACTATACGCCAACAACTGTTAATACACAATAGATGAAGGTTATGAACCCAGTAAGCACGTCAATAATGCAAAAATAAGAATGAAAGTTTCTTGAATCATAGATCTAAGGGAATACAGCTAAACTTTGAGCGTAGTCAGTGGGTCATCATGCGTGGAGGATTCCAGGCTGACGGTACCTGTGCGGCAGCAGCTGGCGTGTGAGTATATTTCTGGAGGCAGATTGTCCTCAGCCTCCTCAGTGTTAAGCATTCATTTTCAGTGGGAGTCACGACCAGACCACGTCCATTAGCTGCTGCTCCTTTCTATTGCCTCGTCGATATGTACTCAACTATAGGAGCTCTGCAGAACAGCTGGAAGATTATTCCAATAACCCTTCACTTGATATAAGTTTGCCTGGAATGTCTTGTACAATCAATCTCAAATATAGCTCACGACTCAAAATAACATCTTGAATTGATCTTATTTTGGTTCTCAAGAGATACTATTCTTCAAATAGATGACATTTATTATCTATATCCCATTTATCTTTATCCCGAAAGTTACCACCATTTACTTAAGTAGTGCAAATTCTTTGTGAATGTAGAATAAATACCGAAAATGAACATAGTTGTAGGTTTGAGATCCTTATTTACTTATCTGTGAAGCTGACGTGTCAAATATATGAGATGTGCTTTAACTATTTCTGAGAGCTCTAAGTATGATGACGATATCACAAAACCAACAAGAGTCAGGAGCATCAGAATATTGGCTTATTGGTCAGGGCATCTTTTTTTTATAACACAAAAACAAGAGACAAAAACAAACACGCTTCATCTGTATAACACAAGGCAATCATATGAAAACATTATGCAGAAAAAGAAAAGACACAATTTCACAGTCTCGTGAACTGCACCAATTCGTCCTCTTGACCGTTAGATAAGTTCCGATCCTTTACATAATCAATGAAGGGTCTCAATAAGTTCTCAAACACATGCTGTCTGGACCTTAATGTACAGGATATCTTCTCCAATGGGAGGCCTGACAACATCCGTCGTAACAATTGTGTGCATATATCTGGTATATTTTTGTTGTATTGATTTAAATCCACCAGGGTCACATATGTTCACATCAACCATTTATACTGTATTAGTTACAGTCGTGTATTCATAGACCTGGTATGAGCAGCAACGCAAGCTTTTTTCCAATCTTCATCTGAAACTTCAGCCTGCAGGTTGTCCTTCCATGCATTAAACCTACAATGTGAATTCTCAAATGAGAAAGATGAGAGTATATTGTAAAACTTTATCATCATTTTCTCCAAAGATGAGTGTTGGGGTCTCGAAAATGCATCATTTTGATTAACTTTAACAAAGATTCTAAGCTTGACGTATTTAAAGCAATGATTTTGATCAAGATTGAAATTAGACCTCATCCCATCAAAGGACATCATGACATTTGAGCCTGCCAAATAAAGGTCTGGATCATTTGTAGTCCCTTTGACTCCAATCATTTGAAAGTTGCGTCTGCTCTTCCTGTCCCAAAGCAACGATGACCCATTCTGGACTGTATGGTGATAATGTATGTGATTCTTTTCAATATATTTTCACATCATACCAGATCTTTATCATGTGGTTTACAATTTGGTTGTTCATGTACGTTTCTTACTGTAACTGAATACATGTATGAGCGAAGAGGTGGTTTCAAACAATCCTTTGTAGAAAGATAGAACATAATAGTTCTACATAGCCCAGTGCAATTTAGTTTTAGCATACAGCGCCATCTACTGAGCAACAGTAGATAGCACAGGTATTGTAAAATGTATAAAAAACGGTGCAAATATGAACAGTAGCACTGTTTGAGTCGAATATTATAAAAACTCTAATGGATAAAACGCAATAAAACAGGAAAGTAAAGAAAATGCCTTAAATGCAAACGTCTTAGTCATGTTGTAAGAGGACAACACAAATTGTAAAACAATAGTTGAGAGAAATATTATACTAAACCAAATACATGTGTGCGATAATAACTTGATTTACTAGCCAGTCACTTTAAAGAATTAACATCAGGCACAGGAAGGCATTTGTTTTTCAAATAGTTACAGGTATCCATAATGGAAGGGAGGCAAATAAACAAACATGTAATGTTAGTTTGCTATTTCAAACCAAATATATGTTGTGTGTCTTGCTGTATCTCCACACTAGACTATTACAAACAACTCGTACGTCTGTGGTGTGAAAAAAACTGTGAGGAAATCACAAATGAAAACAGTGCGAAAGGTGTCGCTTGCAGTGATGAACTTCAAAATAATTGTCAGCCGAATCTACAGATCCATTCCATTTGACAGATCTTTATGATGTGTTTCAATTCTTTGTTTTTCTGTCCAGGTTGGATCTTGTTTTCAGCAGACAGCTGATTTCAGGGAAACAGCCGTAAAGAGCAGACAGAACAGAGACTAGCAGACCAAAAACTCGGCTAAAAATGGGTACATGCTGTACACTGTATTAGATTCAATAATGGTTAGACATAATCACGGCTCACAATAAATAAATGATCATGTTGCTGTTACTGCTGAATATATAAATAAGGACCTGTTAACTACCCTGTTTGCTAAATCAACTTAAGGCTAGGGGGGATCTATGCATACTGTGCAATCATTGCGCATCAATCGACATTTCAACCAGCTAGCTTGACCTTTGTGAGTAT